TCGTATTAAAATTTAAAGTTTAAAACTGCTTGCACAATACAAAATAAGTTTGACCGCCCCCCTCGTTTAAAAAAACTTCCTGAAGCTTAATTATTCCTCCCGGAAATCATCTTTACAGACAGACAGACACAAATCGAGATCTCGACAATACATAGATCGCGCGAAAGACTGGGTCGAAAGCGAAATTTTCAAATGGACTAAGCGAGTTGGCTCGGCAAGAAACAGCCGTGGCCCCAGCAAAAACTAAAGCTACGGCAAAGCAGGTCACCTTGCTTCTCGTGCAATCGGAATTTTGAAACAAAAAGTAATAAATATACGAAGCGGGCCACTCACTTATTATGTGTTGAACTGGCCGACTCGTTCCATAAATTGTACCCGTAGCCTATAGGTCAAGATTCCCTAACCTCGTACCCAGGGTTCTCTGAACACTTCCCCTCCCCCAAACAACAGTAATTGACCCAAACATATATAGATTATCAGTATATGATTTTTTAAACTTTAAAACAAATAGGAAAAACTTTTTGGCTATTTAGGGCAAGTCTATCCACCATCAAACAAGAGTATGATAGTTGTTCTATCTGGATCAACTGCAAGATTAAAGTGGTCATTTAGGGGCAAACTTTCTCAAACTACTCTGCTTTGGCATTTCACAAGAAGAGGTAGTTCAAATGAAGACGTACTAATTGCTGGAAAATTTGGCACTCGCGTTAATGCTCAAGTATTTGCAAGCAGCTCACCTGGGGTTGCAATAGAAACGCCAGCAACGCTGGTTCTAAACAACGTTGATGAATGTTATAATGGAAAATACCGGTTTACTGTTCAAGTATATGGTGGAATTGCCCAATATGCTGTAGTGGAGGTTTTTATTTTAGGTAAGTTTTGTTGAAGTAACTAAAATTTCAGATGTGCTTAAAATTCTGGGATATATTTTTTTATCAGTTTTCTAGTTGCATGGACATGGCAAGGGCATCAGGGCAACATTTACAGTAGAAATCTTTACTATAATTATAATTTTAGTTCAAGATATTGCATCTGTGACATAACTTTGTGCTAAAAGGGATCGGCCCGCTTAAACTGAAAGGACCCCATCGCAATAGCTGAATTCAAATTAGAAGACGGATTCCCGTCTGGGACGGGAAACTCGTCTAAGAAGAAAAACTCGTCCGGATTGGACTGAATTATATAATGTTTTATTGTATTATGGCAAATACCTAAATTAGGAATATAGAATGCTATATGAATAAGATACATTGGAAAACTAATTTTCAGGTAGCTGTACAAAAGTCTTGATATTACTGCATTGAAAATTAAATTTCACTTTGCTGGAATTATGTCCAAAATCCAAATTCACTTGAACTTAAAACGTTAACTTAAAAGTAATAAAAACATGCAACTGATGCAAGTTCATGCATGAGTACGAAATTGTCATCAACATTAATAGTTACATGTATAGCCTTGGTTGATGGAGATAAAGGGCTGGAAGAAGGCTGTGGCAAAGGCTGGCTTAACATGGCATTGGTGAAAGCATTTACCGCCGAGTGAGTCTTTCGTTGAAATTCTAGAGCGAGCACGCCATAATACAGAAAATCTACTGAAATAAATACGATTGACGAGATTTGAAATAAAAAGTTTGAAATGCCAACAATTAATATGCATGTAAACAAGTTTCCCACAGCAGGTTACAAACAACATGCATTTATCGGTTTAATATATTTGTATATATTATATTAATTTTATGAGAAACCAACACATATTACATATGCGTCGGTTTTCGTCAAAGTCATACGGAACGTTTAAATGCTTTATATATTGCACTTCATGTAGTGCAATATGCCACCTTTTCTCTCATATTGCGTCATCTTGACCTTTTATATACGAGTTACAGGAACAATCGCAATTGATCAACCGTTTTTTTTTGCTGAACAACGATCCTACTAAAAATGTCTATCTAGTGGCTATATACACGAAAACATGGTATTTTAGCGAATCAAAAATCACTGACTTGCATTTTCGTGGTGCAAAGACATGTCATTTTGGGCCCGCATGCGCGAAAAGTGTAAAATATTATAAGATGTAGAAACGATTTTTCCGCTCCTATTTTCTGTTATGACATGTAAAACGTATGGAAGAACAAAAATATAAAATAAAAAATAGGGTCACGGACCGTCTTAGAGAGATATCGATACAAGGGTTAAACATGCGACACGCCATGATTTAGTGTTAGTTGCACAAAGAGCCCTAGCCAGAATTCTGTCATTTTTGAAGGTATATATTTCCTGAAGCACGTCTATAATCATGCAGTGTTTTCTCTTTGCCCTTACGCTTTTTGTATTACTTTACATTGCACTTCGACTACATATGTTAGCCAGAATTTGTTATTAGATATGCGCAGTAAAAGTGCGCAATGCAAAACTGATGAATCACCTTAATTATATCCAGAGGCGTAACTAGGACTGGGGCCGGGAGGCCCGGCCCCCCTGGCAAAATTTTGGGCCCCCCCTGGCAAAATTTTGGGGGCCCCTTGATAAAATGTATTGTACTAGTAAGGGTACCTGCAAAGTAGAAATTGCACTGCGGGCATCAAGAGCAAATAGAACTAAAAATAGTACAAGTTACATAAAGCATGCAGTTACTACTCGCAGCGAGCCGGCTACTTGTGAGCACTGTGGTTGGAGCTTAAGGAATACGGAGTCGATTCATGCCATGAGTGTCTGAGAAAAAGCAATGCATTTGTTGCCAAGACCATGCACGGGTTCAAGAGCAATCACAGATTACAGATAGGCGTGTTAATATTAATGTTAATGTTAATGTTTATTCACTAAATCATAAGCAAGAATATATAATATTTTCAAGACCAAGTGGAATTTGTTGAATTTAATACGCGCTGCTCTAGTACGCGTATAAATACAAACGACAAAGCATTCTTAAGACGTACAGGTAATAAAGGGGCCCACAGTAATTGGTTTACACTGTTGTGGTGTCCCTGCCATTTTTGTCCATGTTTATTGTGTTGATGTCTATTCGCTGTTCTGTTAAGTGTTTTTGGCAAAGTTTAATAAATAAATAAATAAATAAATAAATAAATAAATAAATAAATAAATAAATAAATAAATAAAAATTATATAACATAAGTTTTTGCTATCTAATTTCATAGTATTAAGTCTAATTCTGCTAGGCGCCGGCATTTACCACGGCATTGTATACACAGTATTAAACTATAAAGAAACCAAAACTTTACAATACAATAAAATATAGAACCTACAGTGGTCAAAGTCCATTGAGTGAACAACGCACGAAGTGCAGTCACGTTATTTTATACACTAAATTATGGCCTTTACAGAGCTTAAAACTTTACTAAACCTTACGCTGAGTGCCTGAGTCAAAATAATTTGCAAGTCGAAGCAAGCAAAACAATTAACAAGGTATCTATGGCCTGAGGCGAATAATTGTTTTAGTATTTTTGCACAAGTTTTTTTGTGTTTTTCTTGTCTGAATTCATTTTAATTTCGCTTATTTCTTTATCACTAACTTCAACAAAACGGCTAGCCGATTCACCTGTAGGTGAATATAACAGATTAATACGTCAAATTTGACCAGTCACCTTGTAGGATTTGTTATGTTCCGACTTGTGCAAAAATACTAATAAACGATATCCTTCAAATACGCCTCAAATATTGTATGTCGTTCGTTATTTTGTGTTCTGCGCATACGGCAAGCGCACACGACCACAATACAATGCGCTAAATAAAATTTACTTCAAAACCCCCTCTCTGCACATATTAGATTCTGCTTCGCTCGCTCGCTTCAGGCTCGCTCGGTACGCAGCAATAAAAAGGGAACTTGATTATCAGTATAGCTTCAAGTTGAGACCCGTCGGAAAATTGTCAATTAGAGACCTTTAGATTGACGTTTACGGCAAACGTCAAACCGTTAGCGAGGTTTTTGATTTTACAACTCTATTATAATAGCTTGTACACCAGTTTTGAAATATGTTAAACTTATTAAACTTGTGCTCTTTAGCAATGATTTAAAGGCACAGTTCAGCCTTTTGAACGATGGTTTTTAAGACGCATTTCAGCTCTTTTAATTGAAAAAAACTAACTAGAAAAATCAATTAAGCATAATTCAAGATCATCAAACTCAATGTTTTTAACATTTTAAAACATTTTTATTGTTAAAAACATCGAGTTTACTGATTTTGAATTATGCTTAATTGATTTTCCTAGTTAGTTTTTTCAATTAAAAGGGCTGAAATGCGCCTTAAAAACCATCGTTCAAAAGGCTGAACTGTGCCTTTAAGAAAGCAAATTAACCACTAGTCATGCCATTCCCCAAAGTTGACGTTTGGCGTATAAATTTCATGCTTGAACTGCTACGATAGCCCGTGTGCAGGCCCAAGGGAACTGATAGTGGGCCTGCAAGCAAGGCCCGGTATTTTGTAAAACGCCGGTTTTCATAACACGCCCCATTGTCAAAAAAGAACCAATGACAGCAGTCACAGTTTATATGTGATAAAACACTCCTACGCGTGCTTTAAATAGTACATATATATATATATATATATATATATATATATATATATATATATATATATATATATGTATATGTATATATATATGTATATATATATATATATATATATATATATATATATATATATATATATATATATATATATTGTATACTTTGAAGATTGTAAATATTAACTTTTCCATATGGGCAAACAAAATGAAATGAAAAAATACAGAAAGACCTTACGAACTTTACATACATACATACATACATACATACATACATACATACATACATACATACATACATACATAGGCTACATACATAGATACATACATACACACATACATACATACATACATACATACATGCATAAAAAAATATTTAAACACGTTAGCCCTTAAATCATTCATTGATTTCCATAGGGACGTGTAAGGCCCGGGTCAAACGTCGAACTTTTCATGCGCCGAACCTACAGTAATACAATATTAGATTCGACATTAGGTCGACGATAGAGCGGCGTCGAGTCAAACGTCGAACTTAATACGTACGTCGTACCTAATTCATATACTATTATTTTACATGAAGTATCACTTTATAAATCGCCGGCGCGAACTGGCGCGAAATTTTAAAAACAAATAAACAATTCAAAATGTTGCCTTATCATGAGATGAAAGAACTGTTGAAAAAAGTATTAAAGAGCGACTGCGTAAAAGACGTCGGAAACTCTTAGATGCAGGGACGGTATTAGCCCTTCGGCGCAAAAGATTGATACTTCAATCATGCTTAATGGCGGCTACGGCTTTACAATCCCTGAATTCGGCATTCCGATACCGTAGATGCAGAATTTGCAAAGAAACACTGGTTGGTGGCTGTTAGTATGGAATTCATAATTCAGTCACTCTCAAACAGTTACTGAATATAGTTAATTAATTTTCAGAAAAGCCAAATGTGAAAGTCAGTACTTGTCCCAGTTCTATCACAGTGAATGAAGGTGACAATGTCACATGTGCATGTACAGAACAAGGTGGAAACCCTCCAGCGAATGTGACTTGGTATAAAAATGGGAAGCAGTTTGGTAACACACGTTATGGACAAAATATATTAAATCTCAGTAGTGTGACTAAACAGGACATTGGAACATACACGTGCAAAGCTCAGAGGTACAATCTAATGGATGAAAAAACAAACGAAGTAAATGGAACACTTAACTGTAAGTATGATCGATATTCAAGTCGAGCATTACAGATCCATGATAATGTCCAATTCAAGCCTGCATGGGGGTCATCCAATTAATAGGCATACGCAAAAACTGCTAAACCCTCCGTTGCGCTGGTATTAATTGAATGACCCCCATGCAGGCTTGCAAAAACCCTGTTTCGTTTGCTTTGTAGCTACCGTAATCTTGGGAAAAGTGAACCTGTTGTACTGATTATATACGTTTTCTTTACGCACATGCCCGCCACGCACGCTGTTACTATAACTGTTCAGGTTGGCCCGTATTATATAAACAATGGTCAATGCATTTTTGACCGAAAAAGGGGGGGTCCAGTTATTTATTATAGTGGTGAAAAATTTGACATGTAACGATTATTGCTACCACAGGGAGCGAGCAAGGCAGCAAATTTAATTCATGTATAGCTAGCAAAATTCTCAATTTTAATCAACAGATAGACCCAAAATGCAACGCACAAATATCCAAAATGCAATGCGCGCAGCTAATATGAAAAACATGCATCTACCTGATAACTTTTGCCATGAACCTGCCATAAATTTTTGTCATATTTCAATTATGTACATTTTAATAAAAAAGACAGTCAACGAGTAAGCGATGTAGCAACATTACGTCCAGGGAAAGTTTGGCATATACTATATACACTAGTTTATACAAGTATTTTATACATGGTTTAATTTAGTAAGGAGTTTGTCGGTTTACCGTGTCAAGTCCGAGTTTAGGCCGTTTGCTGCGTCCTGATATCGTTCACTTTCATTAAGCATGTCTTGGAACTGAAATATTTTTACGGGAACTAACACTTTCAAGCACCCTGAGTTCGAATCCGAAAACTTCCCGCGCCGTAAACCCGCAGTTTTCTCAGAAAATGCTATTTTATCTTCGCTAATTTCACAACAAATTTTTTCATTGTTCAAAGACACGGATCGATGACGCCACACGACTATATACTCAAAACGACCAATTTCTATTAACCAGTCTTCCTTTTAACAAAAGACCGGTTTTGCCCGAATTATTTTGAGTTATGTAATCTTATGCGTGTTGCACGTAAACAACATATCTTGTCTACAACTTTGGGAAGGTACAACTGTATAACGCCTTCTAAAATCCTCAGTTCTAGCGATATATCTGCAAAATCACAAGGACGTTAATGCTAAGTCTTTTGGCTATATCACTGGCCTGAAAAATAACTAATTTAACGCGATCAAGGTATTTAAAACAAAAGTAATGCGAAGCCAACGTAACGGCAAAGACAACGCTAAAGTGAAATATTGTCGATTGGTTGCTAGTAGAAGACTTACGACAGGATGAATCTTAAATAACCTTAAACTAGGGGGATAAATGTTCATATCAAAGACAAAGACCAGTACCAAGGTATAACATCTGCTCTGTAAACTTACGACGAAGTGGAGAAATGTGTGCATAAGCTGTTTATTTGGTGATTTCAACGTATATGGCAGCCCTCTTTCCAATAATATTCGCTTATCGCACAGAATAACACCAACTGATATAATAGTTCAAATGCAATGATAAGTTACCTCTTGAATTACATCTCAGAAACTGTGTTGGAAATGGAGATGCTGACCCATTCCATAAGATTACCGTTTTACATCGTTGTATAAAACATTTTGATCGCATGTAAGGAAATATTTCTCATCCCAGAGATATAGCCCAACGACTTAACATTGACGTCCTTGTGATTTTATAGGGATACAGCCAGAACTGAGGATTTTACAAAGTGATATCGGTACCTTCCCAAAGTTGTAGACAAGATATGTTGTTTACGTCCAACACGCTTAAA